TTATTCCTACTCACTAAAATCTGCTTTTGTTGGTTTCAATTAAGCCCCTATTGCTCAGATGACCTTATATTACATCATATTATATTATGACCTTACTGTACATGTACACAAGTAACAGTCAACGGCAGGTGCAGAATCCCCCTCCCCCAATTAAATTTTTTGTCAAACTATTTCAAAGAAAATTAGCAGTCTAAGTCTCTAGGAAGGTAAAGATGATTTCCTTGTTGTGAGAGGTGAATTAGGACAACTGTCAAAACTTATACTATTTGTTTTATAAAGTAGCTTCGCTGTCTGTTATACTATGAATGATACAATAACAACACATGCAGAAAAGATCAATGAATAATTATAGCTCTTTGTTTATAATTACATTACTCCATGATTTTCAAATACCAATGGCATATTGAAGGGGGATCCAGTAGGCCTCCCACCCCCCTAAATTTTCCAAAATTATAAAGAAATAAAGAAAAAGAGAAAATTATATTCAAATTTAGGTTTGAGTGTGTCATTTCCAGCCATCTAGATCAATCAATCAATCAATCGGTGATTTATAAGGCGCTATGTATCTATCGTCTATGGGGAGATGCTCGCAGCGCTGCTAATCCCAATGAATATAGAAATAGGACAAACAATGAACAAAGAAAACCATGAACTAATTGAAGCAAGAAATGAAATGAAATGTTTTTATTTTTTAGATGTGCCATAATCATAAATTTTCTTACCTCCACCTGTAAAAGTTCCGCCCTGGGCCACCTTTATTTCAAAATTTCTGGATCCGCCACTGAATACGTAGATTTTAAAATTGATTCCAATGCTATAGCATTACAGAACATCACTTTAAAATTTGAATTTGTTTAACATATTTTATATTTTGTATATAAATTGTGCATTTTTCTTTTATTTAGTTAGCTCAAATTTCTGTTTTTATTAATATATTTTCATGAATTTTTAGATGTTTTAAATGAATAAAGAGCACTGAACTGATCTGGACCATAACTACAGTATATCAAGCAGTTGAAGGTGGCTTGAAGCAGTAGTTACCATTCTAGTTCTTAACATCGTGGTCTGACCTTTCTTGACTGGTCATACTTAAAAACAGGTTTTGGCCAACTTTCATCTTAACATCAGGTCTATCACATGAAAAAAAATATTACACTAGCAGGGTAGTAAAATTAAGAGAAACAACCCTCAAGTCGAATCCTGTTGAATCTGAATGTGACACCGTCAATGCGATCTACATTTAAGACGACCCACCAGATTGAATAGATTTTCGGACGTTTTTCTAGGCAGGCATATAAGACAACCCATTTCACCGTAGGGCTTCAAAATAATACCATTTTATGGGCTTTTAAATGATACTTCCTCTCATTAAAAACTGCGCTCATTCATACTAACCGTTAGTAGCTTCACTTCAGTAGTAGATTTGCGTGTTACGGACGACCCGCACAAAAGACATGATCTAAAAATATTTTGTTAATGTATGTGTTGGGAGTATATAAGACGACTCCCTTTTTTCAGTTGTAATTTCTGCTATTTTAAGCCTTGTCTTATATGCAAAAATATATGGTGTACAACACTGTTACGTTGTATACCAAATATGCAAGAATATATGGTATACAACATAACAGTGGGTTTTTGCATTATTCATTGACCATTGCACGGGTCTCTGGGGAGAGAGTGAGTACTCCATCTTAATACCCTCGTACATTTGAACTGGCCTAGATCTCCCAACAGCAAGCAGTCAGTTTGGTGTCATGTATCAAATCCTGCTCTTGGGTGAAGTTTAAGGGATTTTCTCCTCATTACGATGGGCATCAAAACTTCCTGTCACTTCCCCCTGAAGTGTCATTGAATTTTTTTTTTTAAAGCACAATTCTTCTTATCAATGCTTTGCTCGGGGGAAGTTTTGAATTGGCTTGTTAGTTGGGGAGTTAATGATAAATGCTCATCAAAAAATTACTCAAGGATTGCTTGGGCTTCCAAGTAATCTATATTATCTGATAGATAGTGTAGTAGTTATACAAAGATTTTTATAAGACTGTTTTGTTTCAAGTTGTTTTGTGATCAACACATTTAGCACCTTAGATGCAAAATCAACTTTTAAGCCTGTTGAACCAAGACTGTTCTAACATTAACAATACAAATTCAACTTTATTAATACAACTTTTTTAAACCCAAATAGCAATCAGAAATAGACATAGAGTATTAAATTTTAATTTGAACTAGGTATTTTACTCATGGAGAAAATATATGTTTGTATACAATTATAATAAATATCTTAAATATATTTTCCTATACTTTTGAACATCACTTATTTGAACCACTCTGTTGTGCATTTGTTTTGTTTAATGATCTTCATTGTATTGATTTTAATATTCCGACACTTGTCATGAGAAAAATCAAATCAAAAATCAAACAAACCTTAGGACATTGTCCCCACCCCTTGTTAGGTCTTACTTTTCCGTTCACCATTTTGATAGCACTAGATTAGTTTTTGACTAAGATTTGTTATTGTGATTTAATTTTTTTTGTTTATGGGTGAATTTATAAAAAAAAAGGAAATCATCAAGGGTCAATATACTATAGACCTACATATAGCTTATCTTTACCTGTTCGTAAGAAGGTCAGTTTAAAAAAGAAAATATTTTACCCCTAAATCCAAGGACAAAAATAGACTGAAACCAAAAGAGAAACCATATATGGAAATATAGTGTGAATGATTGACATCAATATTTTTTTTTACACAAATATAAGCCTCTGTCCAGATTATCACATTTTTTTAACAAGTAAAAACCATTGTATGACCACACAGTATATAGTCATGATGTGCCTATATATGGTCATGGTGTGATGTCATCATGACCATATTTAGGCATGTCACATGTTTTTGTCAAATAAAATAAAAGCAACAAAAACTTTTGTGTCTTTGATGATCGTATAAACTTCTGCATAAAATTCTATTCTGTATTTATTTGAATAAACGCCATGCTTTGAATACACCCCTCCTCAAATAAATGCCCTCTAGAGCCTACTTTAGAATAAATTTCACCCTTGAATAAACACCTCATGACATTTATTTTCACCTTGAATAAAGGCTCTCCCCACACCCCCATCCCCCCAATTACAAAACAAATCTAATGGAAGCAGCATCATTCTCAACACATTCTAATTCATGATCTACTCCAGTAGAATTTCATCTTTTCTAACCTGGTTGGGATCAATAAGTCTTTACGTATCCATTTTAAATAAACGCCCCTCAAAAATCCTTTTCAACAATAAACATGTTTATAAATAAATACTGTACTTAAATTGCTTAAATTTGTATAAGTAGGTCATATAGCTTCTTAGAGTTCCAAAGCATTTAAGAAATGCAACGAATATGCTATTGAAATTTCCGTATTCTTTTACATAGACCCTCAGATTGGCTGGTAATCTATTTAAGAGAGTAAAAAAAAATCTGTAAAGCCAAAACATATCTTTTTACTAAGTTCCGCCCATTGTATATTTAATTAATTTATTTAATCAATTTTATTTAATAATTAGCATTTATTGAATATGGATATTGTTCCTAAAATTCAAACAAAACAGAGTGTAAACATATATGTTAAATCATGTGCTTTAATTTAGGACATTTTTTGTGGGAAAAGTGCATGTTTTTAGCTAGGTTCTGATTGGTCAGTGATTAAGTTTGATTGACATGCCTGAAGGTCCATTAACAGTGACTGGAGGCACTAAGTCTAAGTCTACGGGTGCAAAAGCAGCGTACATCCAAGGGAAAACACCATGATGGTGCAAAAATTTCAACATACATTAACAATCATTGATTTATCCATGGCCTTTTAAAGGTTAAACCCATTCTGTTAGATAAACCTGATTACACTGTCACCTAGTTTTAAGCAATATGTATCTAGTTCAAACTAACGAATGCCAAAACAAACTAAGCATCAACTTTAGACAGCAATTAGTTAAATTTAATGAGATTAGCGATAATCCATACTATTTTAAAGGGAATACTGTAAAGGGAGCATAGTTGCACTATCATCATGACTATTGTTATGTATGTGATTTCTAATTTGAAATAAAATATTATTACTGTATTATTAACCAAAAAGTGTGTCAAGAAACCGCTAAGTAATACACAACAACAAATATTTTGAAATCTGAATTAAAAATATTAGGACATTTTGTTTTTACTGAGGGATTTCTAATCTTTCTCAACAAGATAACTAATGTAATCATTCCCCCATCCGTCTAAAGGCCATTACTTTGTGTTAATAACGATAAATGCGACAGTTGAAATACCAGGATATATACCGAGAGAGAGAGACTGAAGCCTCATTGTTATAGACATTGTCACCCTACGATGTAATGATCAATTAAAGGCGATATTTATGGTCAGATATGTCCCACAAATATGCACTTACGCTGTGAACATCAAAAGGGTGGGGCTTTAGGCGTGTGGTCCATTCTGAAATGGGCCTTTAGCTTATATAAAATGAGTATGTTCATACACACTTTTGTTTATATGCATTTACCGGTGGATTTTGTTATCCTTGCTCTTTTTTCTATCCATTTGAAATGTGTATTCTATTTTTTGACCTTTCATCTTCAGTGTTTTCAGTTTATTGAACATATTATTCATTCAAATAATATATCCTAAAATTTTTTTAACAAATATATTTACTCTAATAAAGCCCCTGAATATTAGCACACCTTCTATGATACAATGGAAGGGTCACCCTCTATAAATATTGTAAAACATTTTTTTTAAATAATTTTATTCCAATAGAACATCCTTCTTTTTAATACTATATTTACAAAAAGTGACCCTACAATCCTATAGAACATTCTATCTATTCAAAGACTCTACCAATCTACAGTATATCCACATAATGTGCATTCTTATAGAACATTCTATTAACTCCAGAATAGCATATTATATCAATTCAAATCAAATGCAGTTGTATGCTATTTATTAATACAGGTATATGGATACTCACCGTGATTACCAACGACTGTCATGTAAGGAACTTTTGTGGCTAAGCTTTGAATTCTGTTCATAAAATCATCGCCCACCTGAAAGAAATGTCAACAGAGTTTGAATCCATCATTACTATTCTATAACCTAGCATTCTGAATATTCAAGATATATTATACTGTACCACATTTTTCCATCTGCCAGGGTCAAGTATACTTGTCGTACGTGCATGGTGAGTTGGGTGCGCCAAATATGTATACTTTTCAAAACCGGGATAACATGCTAGTGTTTATTACTTCACTGTTATACATTGTAGAACCAAAGTTCAGGGAAGATACACCAAGACGATAACGTGCAAATAACTTTATGTATGTTTATTGTTTTATGTTGTAGGCATTAAAAAAGATTGCACATGTGGGGGCACCCTCTGAAGATATACCAACCCATGACAAAAGCGAACAAGAAAACTCACACTTGGCAGGTTGCGATAAAAAGTACTGTCCCATTGCCAGCAACGAGTTTACTCATTACCTAATATTTTCCCGCCAATTTATTAGACACACCATTTATACATGAAATAAATAGTAAATTAACATGAATAATCAGATTTTGTATTTTCAACAAGAAACACAAATTATAATCTCTCATAAAAATTTGCCACTTTGATGAGGTATTTAGCTTCTTTAATCCCATTGGGATAAATCAGACTGAGTGTGGATTTGGATTAAATGTAACTTGACCGCAATAGCTACTTGGTTGATTTTCTAAACCTGTTGATTGCTATGGGAAAGTCTTTGGGAAAAGTATGTTTAATCTACTCGACCATTTTGCGAAGACAACTTTAAAAGATAAACAATACTCAAAACGAAAAAAAATTTACGAACACTTTTAAATGTACAAGTAGATCTTCCCAAGCTATCAGCCAAGTTATCAAACTCAATACTTTTTTGTCTTTCTTAATTTTTATATCTTATACTTTTATTATTTTGTTTTAAATATATCTGTACATAATAATCTGATGTAAAAACCAATTTTCTTATTTTGTAATTTTGTATTGGTACAGTATGTATAATGCTGGGCCTCTATGAGAGGACATGCATTCTGCATTTTCCCACTTCCTCCAACTTAAAGACCAATAAAAGAAAAAAAATTAAAGCATTGGTAATACTAGGATATTCATATTTGCATGTGGTACTGTATTCATAGATGGTAGTCAATGCGTTAATCAGTATTTATATTTTCACAAGGAATCAAAAGTTAAAATCTCTCGCTGCTATCTTGATGAGGTATTTAGCTTCCATCCTAATCCCATTGGGATAAATCACCGTGAACTGGGATAATAAAATCTACCATCTCACGAGAAATGAAATTAATACAGTTAAAACCTACACCAGTTACTTCCGATATGAATTTAAATTCAATCAGAAAAAACAAATAATTTATCCACTGAAATATAAAACTAAAGAAAGAATTTTCTTTTGCAGGTTTATGAGCCTTAATGCCTAGGCTTAGAGTCCAGCCTAACTAGGGCTTAAGCTCAAGGCTATGCTAGCAGTTTTATGCCAATTTATCATTAATTTAACAGTGGAGTCCCTAACTTGGGACACTGCTTTTAAGAGGACACCACTATTAAAGAGACACTTTTTCAGCCGCTAAAAGAGAGATAGTCTATTTTTTAAGACTACAGCCAACCCCTATAAAAAGGACATTTTTTTTTTTGGTCCCGAAGATGTCCACTTAATAGGGGTTCTACTAACTGTAATTCAAGGCACACGTTACTGCAAAATCTTCAATATGATGACAAAGCATCTTGGCAACATGAAGAAGTATACCAGGATGAAGTATCTTGCAAAAAAATTCTCAAAAGTTAGGAGGTACTGGCCCGGCCCCCACTTTTGGAAAATCAAAAAAAAAAGAAAGAAAGAAAATTAAAAAATTGATCGCCTAAAACGCATCAGAGGTTATTCTCAGGCATCTAGAAAACAAAAATTTCGGCCAACCCCTTTCAGACACCTCTGGATCTGCCCCTGGGTACTGTAGGATTACACTTGAGGCGGGCTTCGGCGAGACTTTTTGAATACCTTGTTTCGCGAACTTATTTTTTAAAAGATTGTAAGAAGAGGGCAGAAAAAAAAGTAGAATAAAAATTGTTTTCTTATTTAGCAAATTTGTTTGCCAAAAAAACTCTCAAACGTTAGGAAGTGCTGTAGGATTACACTTGAGGTGGGTTTATACTTGGGGGAAAAAAATATGGTATTACTGTAAATACAAGTCTTACCTTTCCACCCTCGTCATGAAGATCATACGCAAAGTCACCTATGTGTATGATGGCATCAATTTCCCCCGAAGCAACTTCACGGTTGAGTGGTCTCAAGGTTGGTGCACCACCCTTGACCCCCATGTCACCATAGATAAGAAGCTGTGGAACCCAGTCGACACCATCCCTCATTGTTGCGAACTCGAAGGGTTCACTCTCTTCGTCATCTGCCCGCACCTTGAAACTATATCGAGTACCTGGTAATAAATTCTATAAAAAAAATATGAGGAAAATTTTTGACCACCAGTTTTGTGAACAGACATGGATCACAAAACAAAGACTAAAGTGGGCACAACTAGTAACAGATGGATTGGCCCATTTTTAACCAGTCAGACTGTGCACCTGGGATATGATGCCATATTTAGAACAGAAAAAATGATAATTGAGATAATTAAGAAAAAAATTAAATAAAACTCTATACTTGTCTGAAGTACTCAGAAATGATATTGAATAGTTGTTAAGCCCCAGTGTCAAAATGGGACACACCTACTGTACCCCCCCCCCCAATCCCTGTTGCTGTGCCCCTTGTCTAGTTACTGGACTGGTACCAATATGTTCCAAGACACTCCTGGGCAAAACTTCTCAGGAGAAGGAAGATCTGTGTGACTGATGCCTCAAAATGTCACACCAAACACCAAATTTTTATAAGACAGTAAGGCAGGGGTGGGTGTAAAATGAGTTGAGGACCAAAGTTAATATTTGATTTAACACAGAGGAGCATCCAAACTTAAATATTTTCAGCGCACTTCCAAAAATCTTTATGCCCTGTTTTTACCATTTAATTCTCAGTTTTAATGTTACATTTTACAGATGATCGGTGTCAGGCCATATTTTCTAAACAAAGAAGGTTGGCGGGCCAGTTTTAATCCATTTTCGCGGGCTGCTAAAATATCACTGTCGGGCTCCACGTAGCCCACAGGCTGCACTTTCCCCACCTGTACAGTATGGCAAGGTAAGGTAAATTAAGGTAAATTATAGATTTTTTTTAATGTAAAATTTCAGAAATATGAAAATCACAAACATATTTTGCAGAGCAGTCAATATAATGAATTTAATACATGACCTACTTTATCAAGCAGGTCAAAATCATTACATGTTCTTAAATTAATCATAATTACTTTATCTGTTTCATGTCATATTATAAATTTCCGAAGAAAATGCAGACCAAATTTTTTCCTCATTGAATATCATTAAACATATACAACTGATTGCTGGAAAAAAAAAAAAAAAAAAATTACGGAAGATGCCAACTTTATATTGGTCACCAGTAAATTGAAAGCATACGAGATATTTTAGGAAATTAATATTGATTGAGAAAAGTAATGGTAATGGTAGAGGAATGTATAGATGGCACGCACATAAGGCTACAGTATGTTGACCTATATCCGCAGTGTGTCCTTGTAGTAGAGTAACTTGTGGCTCAGACTCTCCATCTTGAGGTCGGGGGTTCGAATCCCCTTGCTGTGCAAGTTGTTTGTTGCGATGGACAAGGCACTTTATCTACGTTCGTCTGTCTCCACCCAAAAGTATATAAATGGGTACCTGGTAGGTTCTAATACCAAGGGAGCTGAGGATGTGTTACATAAGAGTTAGATCCAGTGACCGGGTAATAATATAAAGTGCATAGAGGCAGTTTATTGCAATATGCACTATAAAATTATTATTAATTTATTAGTATTTACAGTGAGGGCTCCAAATATTTGCCAACAGTAAACCAAAAAATCTGATAGGGGTATGAACCAAGAGGCTGCCTAGAGCCTTAGTCTGGTGCCCAGAATTAAATCCATAGTGGGGTTAATGGGGACATATGAATTGTGCTTTTAGACCATAGTATTAAGAATATAGCTCCATGCAATAGCTGTTTGAATCCTGTAAATTAATAATTTTCAGTTCAATGACCTTGTCGTATTGAACAAAAATTCACTTCACTTCTAAGTACATGACTTTACATACTGTATATCAGCGGTTCTTAAACTACTGGACGCAGCCGAAAAATGGGTCGCTAAATTAATCAGATACGCGAGACACTTTAGGTGTTTATAAAAATCAAATTTTATATCATGCTAAAGTTTGCTGTAAAAGAGGATGCATTCTAAGTATCATATAATGATTTTACTTAAATTTTGTTTACCAGTTAATATTAACCCATTTTGAATTTTCGAGAAGTGGGTCGCAACAAATTGCATGGACATCTATTTGGGTTGTCAGCCAAATAGTTTGAGAACCACTGCCGTATGTCATCTGTCAATTAGAAAATCAAAACTGGTATTCATAAAGCATCAGCAAATTACATTACCTTTAACTTCACCCTATGTAAATATTTTAGCCCATCTTGGTTCCCATCAAGAAAGTATTGACTGCTGCCAGACTGTTCTGTACTCCAGTTACCAGGGGCTAGGCCATACAGGACAGATGGCTGTGCAGCGGCTGGGGTGCTCCAAACCAGGACCATTTCGTTTGGGTTGTCTCCATAGGAGAGGTGAATCTGCTCTGGAACCGGCCTTGTAGCAGGCATATTAACGGATCTACGAGATAGATTTCGATTGAGAGGACTGTTCATCACCGGGCCTACGATTACAAGACATATACCAGTAACACTACAGATGACAATAATTATGCATTTGGTATAAATTATTTTTCAATATATCAAGTTATATTTATATTTATTCAATCATTCTTTATTCAATAAAATTTTAAAATTTCACAAAAGAAAGTATACATTCATTCCAGGTCCAAGTTTGGAATTCAAACGAGGCAGGATATGTAATGGAAAAATATATAATGTTTTAATATAATTGAATGATACTGAAGCATAAATGCTGCTAATATAAAAAATAATACTTTATCAGATTGTTTTACTGAAGCCATTTAGGTCAACTGGTAATATAAATTAAACAATTCTCACCCAGTCCTCCATATATTGAGTGCAGAAATTTGAGGGTTTCAACATCCAAAGGTGGTTTCGGCCCTTGTGTATTAACATTGACATCTTGTGATTCAGCATGTCCTAGCGTTACCTTGTCAACAGCATTTAAAAGCAGCAATAAAATGATTGGCAGAGAGTACAGCATGTTAGAAGCATTCTACAACCATCACTGAAAAATGAAACGAAATCATAATTTTCAACTACTCTATTCAAGGAATCAATGATTTAAGTAAACCAGGAAGGTACAGTATGCAGTGGCGTACCCAGGATTTTGAAAAGGGGGGGGGGGGGATTTTAACACTTTTGCTCCCAGTGAACCCTGTCACATCTGACAGGGTTCACTCAGGGGGCCAAGGACGTGAGTTCACATCTATACCTGTCAAACATACAACTACCGTATTGTATGTATTAGACTTAAACTCGCTGGCAATGTTCACCAGAACACGAACTCCCGCCCTGGAGGTTCAGGGAACGACCCAGAAGTAATTATCTACAAATAAGTACTGTATGCTTGTTTGTGTTTCACTACCGTTGATGGAAATGTTTTCTATTATAGTGGCGCCCTTTATGCCTTGGCCAATATGCCAATATCAATTTTTTGTTTTTAAATGCGGATCTTCTCCAATTTTTGGGCGGTTCATCATAGCCCACTTAAACCCCCCTCCCCCACGCTACGGGCCTGGACTAGAGGTGGAACATATCGATGGCTATGACTACACTATAAATAGGTTGTTAACGTCTAAAATACTTTACAATTCATTATTTCTTTTCACTTTTGAACAAAAAGGGGGGGGGGCACTTATCCACAAACAGTAATATGTAAGCCCTTCCTACACCCCTATTTTTTAAATTCCTATATCTGCCACTGGGATTAGTATAATTATTGTTGTATTGTTATTATCATTATAAATATTCTAAAGGCTACATATTAAAATATGATAATAGGCCAATAGTATTCCACTACCAAAAAATTATTTTTAAGCTTCCCCATCAAGCAGGCCAAGCCCCTTGTCAGCCATGAGTGGGGCCAAAGCACAAACATTTTTTTTTTAACTTTGGACCTTACAATTTTCTCAAAACGATGTCTCAGAACAAATTAAAATGGCCTAAATTTGCTCAGTTTCTCTTACCCCTACCAGGACTGAAAAATGTCATACATCCTACCAGTGAAAAGCAGCAAAGCAAACTGACTCACAATGTGATGGGAGATCACATGTTCAGACACAAAAGCAAACTACTGTACAATAACAATTATTTCTATGTGTGCTTGGAAGTTGACCAAAAAATGACTGGACTAAAAAATACAAGGACTGATTGAGCTTTACTCAATCCCAGGAATTCAAGACAGTCAATTGTTTGATTAATTTAAAATGTTCACAAATGCTCAAACTTGCCATGTCTTGACACCTCCACCCCTCACCCCAAATCCACCAATTAGAATGGGGTAGCCTAACCAGTCTACGGATTAATGCACATTTTAGCAGGACCCCAGCTGCACCAAGACAATATTTTAAGTTTGTGCAGTGCTGTTATTTTATGTTCAATGCTGTACACTGTCTGCAGATGGTTAGAGTTTTTTTTTTTTTTTTTGTAGTTCCACTAAAAATATATTTAATAGTAAAAAATAATAGTCTTTTCACTTTGGGAATAAAATACAAACCTAGAATCTAAGGTCCTGAATGTAAAGTAGGACAAAAAACATTAAGCACACATCAATCAATTCCATGAAAATTGTTCACAAAAAAACTATGTAAAATATTCCACCAATGGATTGTTAACCATTGCATTACATTCACGCAATCACATCATCCCCAAAATAATGCTGTGTTAGCTAATGATCCATTTTACTGGCTACAACCGACCTACTACCAGCGGTGGCTCTGAAAATTTGTCGACAGGGAGTTGGGTTCATGGGGAGAGGTTTCAAGGGTGAGGATGACCTGAAATTGTACTTTTAGACCACAATGTTATATTAACAATCACTATAATTTTGTTTGCATCGAATGACGGTGCAATGGCATTCGATGACAAAGGGGGTTCCTCAACTACATCTGGGACCACCACTGCCTAATAACAGGAAGTTAGGCATGTTAACATATGTTGCATGTATAGTGTCAAAATAGGGTATATATTTGAAGAATTTGAGAACATGTTTTGGGTACATCAGGCCATTTGCAGGCAGCCTTACACACTCCTATCACAGGGACTATCACATCACATGACCATTTTCAACCACACTTCACTGAACTACATGGATTCAACCTAGTTTTTAGGGTTACATTTAACTCTAAAATCAGTTTGTTTAGCCTTTAGGAGGGGCAAGATTTTACATCAAAAGGGATGTGTATATCTGCATTGAAAAACATGTTTAGGCAATTTTTTTCAGAAGCATGCCACACTTACACAAAATCATTATGTTCTTAATTAAAAGGAACATAATCCAAGGATTTAATTAGGTTATTAAAGTGATCACGGTAACTACGGAAGGGTGAATTAACGTCAATGGCCTTAGGCCCACGAATTTCACTTGGGCCTTCTGCCAGGTGCTTTTGAGGAGGAAGGTGTGACGGAGGACCTCGCTTCACTGCTGGCTGGCCTCAGCCACTCTAGTAGGGTAGGCCTAGCCTTTGACGTCTGGTGAATTACTGCATACCTAATCTAGTCTAAAAATAACAAAGTAGCAATAATAAATATAGCATATACCATACAAATTTGAATTATAAACTGCAACAACACATAGTAAAGTAGTTTTCATTCATTATATCGGAATTTAGGATGTCCTTCCTTACTCAAGCAGCCTCGCCTCACAGGTGTATATATACACACACACGTAGTAAATATTGACGTTTGTAGTTTCCAATGTTCCAGTCGTTATGAAGTTACATTAATACCTACGTCGGTAGTGTATTACTGTATCAATGTTTTCAACCACCATCATCATCATTTGCATTATCATTATTATTATCTTTGTCATTATTTTATCATTATTATTATTATCGCTATCATTATCATGACCATTATCATTTCATTACCATTATCATCACCATCATCGTCGTCGATTAAGGTTTAATCAGTTTTTTTGTTTGTTTTTGTTTGTTTTTTTGGTTTTTTTTGGTAGTTCTAAATGAGTCTCATTTTGATGATGATTATATATCGATAATTATTAAATAATAGTAAAAGGCGTGATATAGATATTTTCAAGAATCTTAAGTCTGACTAGGCCATCAGTCATGAGGTAAACAAATGATTTTTTTTTTTTTTTTTTGTAGTTCTAAATGAGTCTCATTTTGATGATGATAATATATCGATAATTATTAAATAATTGTACAAAAGGCGTAATATAGATATTCCCAAGAATCTTAACTTAAGATGGACTAGGCCCATCAGTCATTAGGTAAAAAAAAAATTAAAATTTTAATGCCACATTTAAATTGCTAAATTTGTATATTTAAGTAAAATTAACAACTTAAAATCAAAACTTTGAATGAAAAAATCCATCGTCAATTTTTGGATAGTTTAATAACAAAAGATCCTGTAGGCCTATTCTTTTGCATGATCCTTAAATTGGTGGGTAATCAATTTAAGGATGTTTTTTAATAGTAAAATGTCTGTAAATCGGTAAAAAAATACATTTTTTCGATGTTTCATCATTAGAAGAAAATAATTTATTTGATCCGGGTTAAATGAGTGATTTAAAATGTTATTTTAATTTTTTTACTTAATTTCCTTGACAGAGATTAATCCTGTTGCAAAGGCCTCGTCTACACTATCAAATTTTCTTTACGAAGAAACTGTATGCCCTAGTCATGGTCATGATGTAATGTCATCATGACCATAGTCACATGTTTTCGTCAAGTAAAATTTGATGGTCTGGTTTAAAACATTTTATTTACCATCTACGAACTTTATTATCATTAGTGATATTAGAACAAAGCACTAGGAATTGTATGTGTGTTGATTTTTCTCTTTTGTAAGGCCTGTATTGGACGCGACTCGTTTCATCGGGATTTCAAATTATCAAACCAAAAGCACGATATTTTGTTTAGATTACCATGACAAAATACAAAAAGTCAATTATTTGTGTTAATAGTGCAAATAATAACAAAATAATGATAAATAAATGATAAATAATGACCCTTTACTTACATAGCATTATTTAAAAATACATGATAATAATAAATAAATAAATGGTTGTTATATAATTATTATTTTTATCTTATTATTATAATGTAATAATAATAATGATAATAATGATGATGATAATAATAATAATAATAATAATAATAATAATAATAATAATAATAATAATAATAATAATAATAATAATAATATAAATAATATAACCCTTTGAAATGAGAGACGTAGGGCCTACAAGTACACAAGTATGCAATCTAATAATAAACTAGACAGGAATTAACGGTATCAATTATAGGCCTAATAAAATGAGAATAATAATAATCAATATCATTAATTGTGGTTCATTGCTTCAGATGAACTTCATGAGAAAAATCATGAAATCAATTTTACAGAAAATGATGCGTTAATATTGTTGTTAGGAGTGTGTACAAGGAATGGGTGGTCCAGAAAATCGTTACCTTTCTTATTTGTTTACACTTTCGAGAAAGTTTAAATTACATAGTCTAACACGCGCATAAATGCACGCATCATTGGTCGCAAAAGGCATTGTTTATACTTGATTTAACCTATACATTATAGAACAATTAGAAGTTATACTCTCAATGAAAATAGTGCAGGCAACTGGGTCACGAAGGTAGCAGAAACGTTCACTACACTGTCACACCAGCGGAAAATTGTGATATTTTCTTTTTAACGCCAACTTAAAAATAGAGTTCGTTAGCCGTTTGTTGCGCGTGCACTGGATTTTCTGCAGTTGACACAGAGGCCTACTTTCGCCGATTGAGCCCGAATTTTCGCTGGATGTAAGACCTTGTAACTGCAGGTAAGAGTGTAATTTTAAAATCTATTTTATTGTCAATGTTATATATATTTTTTTTTTAACTTCTTAGAATGGAAGCCTAAATGAAGATTTTCTATGAAGCGGTTCCAACAGGCTATTTATTAATTCGGGTATTATTGCGCGGTTAGACGACTGATTGCGCGCCAGCAGTGTGTTGCGCGAATCTCTAATCCGGATTAGACCTACTCTGAGCGTCGGCTAGGCCTATGCCTGCTTAGCTTAGGCCAAAAGCTATACATCAATAACTCGCTATTTGTATTTTGTACGTTTTAACTTTTTCATTTACATATAAGCTAAATAATACAATGTTTTTATGCTCACCCTGTTGGTTGACGTTATAGCAAAAAAGATGTAATGAAAGTCTAAGCTATGACTCTGAGTGTGGGTCGTGGATCCGGTCGTGGCGACTTGACTAGGCCTGGCCTAGCCTGATTTGTTATCTTTTTAGGTTTCATTCAGGCTAACCAGTGGCGGATTTAGGGGGTGGGTGAATAGGGTAGCTAGCAATAAAAACAATTTCTATATTTTTAGAAAACTGCTGATATCATTTGTGAAAGTGGATTTCCTTTTCTGTTTGATACATTTATGTTATAGGCCTGTAGTAAATGCAGAAATTCGATTGAAGTTATAAAGTCAATTATGTGTGCTTAAAAATTGATTGTGTATTGTATTTAATGCCCTTTGGTAAATCAAAGTACTACTACTCGTATCACTACGAATGGCCATGTGTTTCAGTAAAACGACAAATTTCGGAGAGAGTAGAGTTGGAGAATTGCATGAATGTTCGTTTTACTAATAAGTTGTTGGCAGGTCTACAATACGCACATCAAAGTTTATCAAGCCAGAATCCTGTATAGAGCGTCTAAACACTAAATAAAAAAAAAATCTTTTTTGGGGAGGGGTAGGCCTATACCCCTCCCGGTTCCACCCTCTCAATAAATCCTAGATCCGCCAATGCTAGAATACCACGTCGTGAGGTTAAATTTATTATATTCAATATCGAATCACCTAGTGCTAAGAAATGTTGTTAATTAAAAATTCTTTTTTTTTTTCAATCAAACTCTTTGTTATCTTAATTGGTTTCTTTGGTTTTTTTTTTTTTAAATTATGACAATGATCTTTCCATTCATCGTCTACCGGTACTTCAAATAGGACTAAAAGATCTCTCATAATCTATCTAGATAGTGCCAAATGATAAGGATTTAATTTACACAGGCCTAAGCGTGAAGGAAATCAGTTAGGCCAGTATAATCGCGAAAAAGTTGTTTGAAAAAGTTTGAGCATTCATTGTTGAGTGACTCTCTGTCGGCCTACGTGCGGTTCAGAAGCGGAGGGAAGAAAAACAAAATAAATAAATATGTTACCGTCTGTGAATGTGGAAGTAAAGTGTAAGGCTTGGGATGGGGGAGGGAATAGAGTTGGGTGTGTAGAAAATCCTGTGTGGATATTGAAACATAGGCCTAACCTACTTTTAAAAGGTAGATTCTCCACAGCCAACAATTTTACGTTATAATGACGTAATTACTAATTCGGTTTGGTGTATAAAAAGTTTTTACTTTTTCCTTGTAGAACCATAGGTATTTATGTTTCACGACTAAATACTGTAACTTTCGAAGGTTGACAAACGCAAATTTATAGGACGTCCTTGAACGTTAACGTTTTGCGTGTTATTGCACCATAACTTAAAGAGCAAAAAAAAAAAAAAAATCAATTCAATTAATAGTAGGCCTAATTGTTATTGTCGTGATGGAATAGACAATAACTGGATTTACGTCAGTAGAAACATGTATAGGTGTAATTTTGCCTACCTGATGTGGAAATGTACTGAATACTCAGTACGTTTGAAAACAATTGCGGGAAAAAAAATCGCAAGTTGTTCTCGGGTGGGACTCACAATTCGCAATTGTTTTCAAACGTACTAAGTATTCAGTACATTTCCACGTCAGGTAGGGCAAAATTACACCTATACATATCAATTCATTTGCTTAACTTCCATATTTTTTTTTAAAGTATTATCCACATTTAAATGTGAAAACAATTTCTACGTCAATTAACGAACCTTTAACTAGTAGGCCTACATTTGCAGTTCGTTTGCATAAATTCTTAAATTGGCTGGTAGTCAATTTAAGGATTTTTGAGGAAAACGTCTGTAAATCAGCGAAAACTATTTTCTTTTATCCGCTTTTGTTGAAAGTTAATATTTAGTTTTTACCGCACGACGTAAACCTTATAAACGTTAACGGATGCGACGTCATAATTTATTCATCTTGCGTTGCGGAGTACGTTAATTTCAGGATTTTAAGTTTTAGGTCCAGACTTTTTTAAGTACTCTTAGTTGGGAAAGCCACTTGACACTCCAATTCTTTATTTTGATTCCACTTATGGCTACCTCAGGTGCTTATTGTACTGTTGTTTTACGTATATTTTTGTGTTTTTTCACCTGGAAATTGAATAAAATAAAATAAAAAATATAATTAAATCTGTCAATTACGAAGTAGGCCGACTGCCCCTGTATGATTCCGTATTTGATTATTTTTTTTTTATAAAACAGCATAGAGGCCAAATGATGATTTGATCGAAATAAAACTAATTAGACAAAGTTTAATGTAATCGTATCCCAACGCTTACCGAGACTTTCGTCACCTCTCTACTGTTGAGCATGAAACCATATTTTTATAGCCAACATTAAGTAGGCCTATAATTGTTTAATTTTATTCATTGTACTTAAAGTTATATCGTGTCCATTCAAACGGTCTTTACATATTAACCAGTTTACCACGCAATGCCAACAGAACTTTGTTTCGACTCCTAATGTTGGAGGCTCTGTGCCGCGATCATGATTA